ACACATTAGTGTTCACAGAAGATCTATAGGAACACATGAAAGCTTAAAATCACAGGAGAGTCCACATAAAATCCACATTCCTGTGCTGAAACATGGATCCTTGTCAGCTTTCACCATTTCCTTCGGAGATAAACTACAAAAAGTGAGCTTAACAATGAACTAGAGAATAAAGCATACATCACAGTTAGTGATAAAACTAAAATAATTTGTTTTTCCTTAAAAGAGAATCCAGTGCATTATGTTCATTTTCACAATGATGTAAGAGTGCCCTTCTGTCAACAGGCCATCTAGTTTTGTGACCTATTAGAAATGACTCCCATTTTCTCTTTAAATCTCAAATACAAAACCAGTTACGGCTCCTAGACCCTTTGCCACATCCCACCACCTCCTACTAGCAGCAGGACAAGCTCCTCTGGTCCTCAAGACAGTAAGAGGCACCCTGGACTGTCCCTGTGCCCTGATGTTCCCATGTCCCTGTGGCACTGATACCCCAGTGCCGGGCCTGCTGCCAGAGAGTCCCTCACGCTCTGTGTGGCTCCGTCCCAACCATCACCAGAACCCTGTGATCTTCGCCTCCAGCCACATCCACGGATATCGGATATTGGGAAGTTCTGGAAACCAAATACCTACTCTAAGAACCATCCCCATGCTCACTCTCAAGGGCAGCTCTTGGGTGCACTGGGACCCTGTGACCACCCGCCAAGATACCCTGTGGCAACCTGCCAGTCCCTGCAGGTGGCAGTCCCAGAGGCTTGGAGGCACTTTCCCATGAGACGGCCCTGATCTCATCACCAGCCCTTCTTTCCAATGCTAGGAGTGTCACATAAGGTGTCGGGTTTGCTGGGCTCAATACCAAGAGCCTCCAGACCCCTGGGACAGGGAGCTGGTGTTGAGTCCCCTGGCGGTGCCAAGATGGGAGATGGAAGTTTGACAATGAAACTGCAGTGAGAGCAGAAGGTGGAGCCAGAGCACAGGCTGCCATGATTAATCCCTGATGAGAGATGAGAACATCGGGTCCCTTCCTTGTCCCCAGGCGGGAACTCTGAAGAGAAGCCTCTACTCCAGCCACGATGTCTGCGAGGATGGGAAACAAGCCAAGCCAGATATCCAGCCATCCCTGTCTGCACCCAGTAACAGATGCTTAATAGACACTTAAATGGATGAGGGAAATCACACAACAGAAGCCTGTCACCCCCCTGTGACATCTGGGAGTCAGAGAACCTTCCCTGTAGACGCAAAGGCACTGACATCATGGGAGGAGGCCAGCAAATACCCACAACTGTCCCAGGGACAGGACTGTACCCCTTGTAGAGTTAGGAGGGAGGACAGGGGCCTCCTAACAGTGAGAGGTTAGATCACCATTCCTCCCAGAAAATCGTGCCCCCTCCCCATCTCTACCTTGTCTGGGCAGTGACTTCTCTGCCCAGAGGGCCTGGGCCAGGAGCCTGTGTCCTTCCTCTTCTCACAGAGACCTGACCTGACACAAACTCTGGATACTACACCCCAGATATAGTTACCACCAGGGAAGTCAAGCCCTACCCTGATCACAAAGGAAGTCAGGGGTGACTCCCCATCCCCAGGGTCCCTGGTCTGTGGGGACACCTGGCTGTGGACCCATGAAGGCATCTCACCAGCCAAAAGTGTCAGGGCAACAAGGGGTATTTCCAATGCAGATGTGACAGGAAAACCGGGATGTCTCTGCTTCCATCTCAGAGGGGCTGAGGGTCCCACAGGGGCCTCCTCTCCTGTAACAGAGGAACCCATGGGATCCCCTGGCTAAGTCTCCATGTGGAGCCCCTCCAGATCCTGAGCCCTGTGAGGAGACCTAGAGCACGTGACAGACAGGGACACAGATGAGTTGGATGCAATGCCCCAGTGCCGTGATGGGAGAAACACAGGCCATTCTGGGGTCCAGCCCCCCCAGGGCTTGAGACCTCACAGGTGGACTTGAGACCCCAAGAGACCACTCACTGGGTCCGTCCTTTGAAGCCTTGGGGACAGAGAGCTCCTCCTGAGGCAGCACATCCACCAGGAAGCACAGGACACTGGATCAGGAGTCCACTGGACAATGCCTGTCCTCTCCCTGGGCTCACCCTGCACTGGGATGGAATCAGGCAGCCTGGGGATGCAGGCTGAAGGGATTCTCAGTCTGGAGGTCAGAACCCATCTCTGTCCAGGGCTAAGAGACAACTCACACCCTCTGGAGACTGGCCAGCATCCCTGGTGCAGCTTGGGACACCGGCTGCAGGTCTCCTCATGCCCTCCAGGGGGCGACATCGGGACAAACACAGACAATTAGCAGGAAATTAACCCAGGAATGTGGCTTTGGCTAATCAAGAGAGGGAGCCTGATGTCCATCTCTGGTCCAATAGATACTTCTGGGCCCCTCCTATGTGCCTCCGTTGTCCTGCCTGCTTCTTCTAAGGGCCTCAGACCACCCTGCTCTTCAGGGGTCCCTGTGTTGCTCCCCACTCCCTGCCTGGCACCACCCATGGGGAAGGCGGGGTGACCACAAGAAAGTCAGCCAGGCAGAGGACAGAGGCCCTGGGGATGGTTAGGGAGCACATAGACAGGCTCAGAGCCACAGCTCAGTCAACAGACATGGAGAGGGAGGGTGTCCCTAAAACCATCCCTCAAGAACCAGGGAGCCCACAGCCACCTGACCTCTCACCACCACTGTCCTCTCATCCAGGACACACAGGAAACCCCCTTCACACCTGGGAACTGCAGCTCCTGAGACACCAGTACTGGATCTCTATCACTGAAAGGAGAGGCCAGACTGGTGACACTGGAGATGGAGGGTAGGTCCCCTCACCAGTCATCACTCAGTTTGTCCCTTTTTCACCCCCAGAGTTATGGGAGATCATAATTGGCCACCCCAAAATGTGTATCTTTGGCATAAGGATTATTTGGGGCTGGTTACTTTTAAGAAAGTGCAGACAGGGGAAAAGCTCTGAAAACCAAGTAGAAGTTGCCCTTTGTAAGATACATATACATTTGTAAGGGAAATCTCCATTTGTAAACATATCTCCCTCTCTGTACCAGGAAGAGGGGAATGACCTGTCCCTAGAAACCCTTATCAATAGAGAAGGGGAAGACTTAAATCTGCGTAATAACCTTACTCTTGTTCACTGTGCTTTTCTGGTAATCTCCCATGACTGACTTCCCCCAGCCCCTACATCCTCCTTTGTCTTTAGCTGAAGATAGTATTTTAAGCTGGCAGCCTTGGCCATTTTGGCAAGTTACCCAGTTTTTCTGAGTTTCTCCCATGTATACATGTGATAAATAAATGACAAGCAATAGGATATATTGGAGTACATGAGGAAGACATTTGATGTAAAACTAATTTGGCCTGAGCTTGTTTTGTCAAATGGGGCTGACATGGCCATTGAGCATGCATTGTATATCTGCTTTAAGTATTTACTGTGTCCCAAAGATAAGAGTAATGCCCTTAAAAATAAGAATGTAACTTCCCCCACATTGGCATTTCCTTAAGGATAAGCGTCTCTCCCTAAACTAAGGATTGATTGCTGGCCTGCTGTTCTCACCCTGTGACCACCCACTCGAGACCACTGACAGACAAATGGCAAGCAACAGCGTATTGGAGTATATGAGGAAGCCATTTGGTGTAAACCTAATTCGGCCTAACCTTGTTTTCTTTTTCCAGAAGGTGCTGACGTGGCCGTTGAGCATGCATTGTATATCTGCTTTAATCATTTGCTATGTCCCAAAGACAAGAACAAATGGCCTTAAGATAAAGATGCAATTTCCTCCACCTTGGCATTTCCTTAATAATAAGCATCTCTCCATAGACTAGGAATTGATTGCTGCACACACCCTGTGGCCACCCAGCTCGAGACAACAGACCTACTACCTAATGTGTGAACAGCTGTGTTGTGCCAGCTAGTCAATCTTGTGACTGTTGTAAAAAGGACTTTCCTATCATATGTGATGTATGCTCTTTGCTCCAAGTGTTAACACACCAGGTTCATTTTTGCCCACCACCTAGAAAGCCAAACACCGAGACAATAAGATTGCAGCAGAGAGAGGGTTTTAATCACAAGGCAGCCATGTGAGAAAGTGAAAGAATGAGTCTCAAATCCACTTCCCTGAAAATAGGGATTCAGGGATATTTATGGGATGGGGGCAAGGTGGTCTGAAATATGGAGATGGATGATTGGAGGTGAGGTAATTGATGTTCTGCACAAGCGTCGTCAGACTCCATGTCTCTTCATGGGACGCATGCTCACAAAATGGTGGTGTGAGCATGATCTGAGGGTGGAGTTTTTAGCCTCTTGATGTCAAAAGGTCGCCTATCGGATACCTGCACATGCCCAGTTGATGAGTTGGTGGTCTCAACCAGCCTGGAGTGGACAAAGGGGTTCTAATTCCTGAAGAACAGCTCAAATACCCATTATCATGGTGACCCAGGCTCCAGGGAGATGTTATCTCTAGGAACCTAGTAGGAATCAGATAGCATATTGCCTAAACAACACAGTTAACAAAGGGTGGGTTAAATAGCTAAAAGCTATAATCAGTAATTGCAAAAATGAAAAAAGTTTAGTTCCTAGCTGCTTCATCAATGGCTGTTTGCTGGTTTCACAAGAGGGTATATAACCACTCTGTACGCACCACTTTAGTGCCCTTCCTTCCTTGGGAAGGAAAGCCCCAGGCTAAGCTAGTCCTCAGATCTGGCTCATAATCAACTCCCCCCAATTTTCACTTATAGAGTGGTTATGGATTATTTTTGTCAACACTACAGACCTGCTACCTGCTGTGTCCAACGATTGCTTGTGAAATGCTGTGCCAGCAAAGTAATCTCATGAGTATTGTAAAAAGGACATTCCAATCGTATGTGATACATGCTCTTTGATGGTATATAACCACTCTGTACACCCCTACTTCTTTGGAGTGCTCCATTCCTTTGTGAAAGGACTCTCCCAGGATATATGGTCCTAAGATCTGGCTCATAATAAACTCACCCCAATTTTTATTTACAGATTGGTTATGGATTATTTGCATCGACATTTCTTGTCATAGTCACGGCAGGATTTCAGAGAAACCCACTGGAGACCACCTGGAATCTACACTGAACCAGCATTTGGTACCAATAGGGGTCATTGAGCATCCCTGGATCACTGCATTCTTCAGGTGACCCTGGTGAGTTCTCCTGGAACCCTGACCTCTTTACTTTAAGTGAATGGTCCAGAGTTTATATGCACTGTTTCAAACCTTAAGACTAGGTGTCTTAAGGGGGCACTGGTACAGACCCTAGATAGAGGAACCTAGGAGGGGGAATTCCTAGGAAAGAGAAACCTAGGGGGAATTTCCTAGGCCAGAAGAGCCTAGGGGGAACTTTGGAGTGAACGGGGCAGGCTGACCTTTTTAATTTGGCTTTAAATTGGAAAGAATTGTGTTTATAAAGTCTGAAAAAAACTGTTTGATGGAGAAATGAGAGACTGAACATGTTCAGCTCTGAAGAAAAAGGGCATTGCTCCTCTCAGCTAAAAGACATTCTCAGGTGACTAAGAACCTTAGCAGGAGTGTAGGAGGATCAAATCCTCATGATGTGTAGCAGTCCCATAGGGAACTCCACTATCATTCATGTTAATTAATTAAAGTTTCATCTGGGGAAGTACATACGGGGAGTTGGTCGCCCACTCTCTGAGCCCCCATGGTGGTTTTAGGCTGCTGGCGGGAGAAACTGAGGCATGTAAGGGAGTGTTTATTACCTTTCTTTAGGGAGTAACACTCACAAGCAGCACACTTCTGAACCTCTACACTGTCCTTAGAAATTATTCAGACTTTATAGCAAAATGAAACTAAAAGAAAAGCGGGAAATGGAGTTTCTAAAAGCCCAGCCAGTTCCCAAATGGGAACCCTCCCCTCCAAACTCCAGCTGGCTTTATGCTGAGACTTTCAATTGCTTAACAAAAGAGGAAAATCTAGCCCATCACAGACTCCTAAGACTGAAAGAAAGGAACAAAAATGGGAAAAGAAGCTTTTGCAGATGCAGACTGCTAAAATTTTTTTAAACATAGGCTATAAAATTTTTGTTGCATCTGTTGTTTGTGTGTGTGTGTCTATATATGTATGTTACAAATGAGTGATATTTTACCTCCAGATGGTGTAATTTCCAAAAAGCTCTATTCAACTGGTTTAAAGTAAGCACTTAGAAAAAAATTATTTCTAAATACAACTAACCCAAATGTCTTTCAAGATAACGTGATATGAAATAATCTTTGGTAAATAAAAGCTTATTTAAGTTTGCTGGTTTGATTAAAATAGACAATCCTCAGAGTTATCAGCATTGGATGTGATGCAGATGTGCAACCTTTATTCTACATTTATTGGTCAAATAAGCTGATGTTATCTCTATTACAAAACTAGTTAACAAAAATAATAACATAAAGGGTGGCTAATTTTGTCTAATGTCTCATGAAGTCTTGTAGGCAATCTAAACAATTATTGGGGACAACTAAATAGATGTGTAAAAGATGAGTATGGGGTGAACTTTCAACAATAATTATGTGTTATGTGTTTGCACTTAAAATAGCTTCCAAAATCTCTTTGGTAACTTGAAACTTTGAAGTTTTTATAGGCTAATTTAAATTATAAAAATTCATTAAATGTCTAGATCATCTCTAAATAAGATAAAACATTAGATGTTAATTATTAAATATAAGTTTATCTACTCTTGGCTTCTTGTTACAGAAAAACTAAAAAGTGTTTAGGTATATTAGTAAACATGTCTTGTATTTTATTAAAAGATTGTACTATAAAGTAACATGTTTTTAGAAATTATAAAAGATATTTATAAATTTGCCAATCCACAAAATGCTATGTAAAAGAAAGTTTATAATTGCTTACTTCTTAGTTTTCACCAAAAATTAAGGTTTCTAAGGGTTAAAAATTCTAATATATGTGATTAAAGCTACTAAAAATTTAGGAAAATATATTTATATTCAAGGAAAGAAGGTATAAAGAATGGAAATATTTTTATTTTCTTAAGAAAGATAAATTTGGGGCTGGCCCGGTGGCACAGTGATCAAGTGTGCATGTTCCACTTCACTGGCCCAGGGTTCACAGGTTCGGATCCCAGGTACAGACATGGCAAGCCGTGCTGTGGTAGATGTCCCACATATAAAGTAGAGGAAGATGGGCATGGATGTTAACTCAGGGCCAGTCTTCCTCAGCAAAAAGAGGAGGATTGGCAGCTGATGTTAGCTCAGGGCTAATCTTCCTCAAAAAATAAAAGAAAGAAAGAAAGATAAATTTGTCCCAAAGTCCTAGGAGGAAAAAAGAAAGGCATGGGACAAATTCTGAATGTAAAAAGAAACTTATAGAAGGTTTGTTGAAGAGGAACCCTGAGGAAAGAGTTTTATGCATTGTCAAGTTGGCTAAGATGAAAATAAATTTAGGCGAATAAATTTTAATATCAGAAGTAGGCTGGTACAAAAAGTTAGAATTTGGTTTTCTCTTTCTCTTAAAAGGGATAATTTTCTTAAACTCTTAGTATGCTCTTGATAAACAGGTTATAAATGGTTTTTCTTTATTTTTAAGCTTATCTAAAAGACAGAAGATCTATGTTTTATTAAAATAACTTCCTATGTTCAAAAAGACTGAGGTCTCTCTATTAGCCTGGAGGGCTAAAACACTGCACCCTGAGTTTCCCTTAGATGCAGGGAAGGATTCATATTGAACTAACACCTTTTGCCAATCTCCGTCTCTCTAAAGCCACTTGGGCTCATTCAGGGTTCCAGTGGTATGGCCACTAACTGGTATGGCATTTAGCTATATTTGTTCCTTCTTTGGGATGTCATATCACATACAGAAGCCCTTAACAGTAGTCAAGCAGGAATAGCTTTATTAAATACTGAAATGTCTTTAATGAAAAAGGCTGTCCTTCAAAATAAAATGGCCTTAGATATTTTAAACACCTCCCAAGGTGGTACATATATATCATTCAAACTGAATGCTGCGTTTTTACAAATAATAAGTCTTCCAATGTGTCATCTCTGCTAAAGCACATGAAAAAAAAATAGCTGAGTGCCTTAAGTGATCCTACAGATAGTCTTGATTTGTTTGGTTGGCTCCCTTCCAGTATCAGTTCTCTTTTTTGATCTGGATTGCAATTTCTATTTCTATTACTTCTTGAAATTCTTGTACTAGTCATAATATTCAAAATAATTGCTGTTTTCTTTACTCAGTGTTATAAGACTGTCATGCAAGCTAGAGTAACGACTGCTCAGAGACTTGAGATAGTTGATCAACCTGTCTTATATGTCTTATAACCCTGTTCAATAAGTTCGATAAGGACTATGCCTAAGAACTCATTTTAAACTAATCTTTTCAAATATATTGAATTATTATCATTGTTACTGTACGTGTTCTATATTTCTGAACAATGTAAACATAAGGAGTCATAGAAAAGCACATATACAATGTTTGTGTAACAATCTAAAATTAATTGAAAATTATATAACCTATGAAATCCTTCCTCTGTTAGTATATATACCTCTATGCTTGTCCACTATATCTGATTATTTCCTTCCAACGTGCTCAACTGGGCAAATAAATGAGACAAAAGCCTAGCACCAAGGGACATGATGGATCCATGGCAGGCAGCAACCACCCTGGCACCAAGGGACAATATTTTGATCACCAATGCTTTCTATCAAAAGATTATAGATCAAAAGGGGAAAAATGATAAATAAATGACAAGCAATAGGATATATTGGAGTATACAAGGAAGACATTTGGGGTAAAACTAATTTGGCCTGAACTTGTTTTTCCAAAAGGGCCTGACATGGCTTTTGGGCATGCATTATATATCTACTTTAAATATTTACTATGTCCCAAAGACAAGAACAATGCCTTTAAAGATAAGAATGTAACTTCCCCCGCATTGGCATTTCCTTAATGATAAGCATCTCTCCCTAAACTAAGGATTGATTGTTGGTCTGCTGTGCTCACCTTGTGACCACCCAGCTCGAGAGCAGAGACCTGCTATCTGCTGTGTTCATCAATTTCTGTGTGAAATGCTGTGCCAGCAAAGCAATCTCATGACTATTGTAAAAGGGACATTCCAATCATATGTGATACATGCTCTTTGATGGTATATAACCACTCTGTACACCCCCACTTCTTTGGAGTGCTCCATTCCTTTGTGAAAGGACTCTCCCTGGCTATGTGGTCCTAAGATCTGGCTCATAATAAACTCACCCCAATTTTGACTTATAGATTTGTTATGGATTATTTGCATCAACACATGTTGCAAAGCTCTATTTGATTTTCTCATGCCAATTTAATTCGTAGACCTGCCAGAAGGACCTAGAGAGGGTAGAGGAAATGTTCTTCCTCCCCTAGTGTTTGGCAACTTGGATGAGATAAAACTTCACTGGCTGGACACTGCTCACTCCTGGACTACTGCACCTGAGAGATCCTGGACCCCTGATAAGAGCCAGCAGGAGGTAAGAGTTGTTACCATGTCAGTCTCCTGGATCTCTGCCTGCAGGGTCCAATGGAAATGAGAGTGGTGAGTTTTTTCTTTTTCTAAATTTAGATTAGCAGGAGCAAAAATTGGGGGAAGCTAGCTTCTTGGACTCAGTGACTCTAGCATTTGCTTTGAGCACTCATTGGTTAATTGATCCTTTTCCTCCCAGAGATGGTGACTGCTTTTCCTTGTCTCTATCATTTTTTTTGTCATTTGTCATAAAATTGAAAAGCATAGGGCAAGACATGGGCATCTATAAGCCTATTATCTGGGAATATGCACATGCGGTGAAAGCTGTTGCTACAGGCATCTTGAAAGCCAAAAAGGCTGCAAATTTGGTGGGCATGGGTCAAGCACTTAAGAGCCATTAGTGTACTCACTGCCTCATGGAGTCTCCCATGAAAGGGTAAGTTGGGTCACGAAACAGGATAGATGACACAGGTCCCCCCACCAATTTCAGGACAATGTCCCTACAATGACAAGGGTCTCTGTAAAGCACACACAATCCCCAACCCCATGGCACCTCCCTCCTAGGTACTATTCTGGCTCCAAGAGACCCAATGCTTAGCTAAAGTTGTTAATGTGCATCAGATGAGGTTTTCCTTTTGTCTTGTTCTTGAGAGCTTGGCTTTGTGGCCTTTCTGGTTTCTGCCATCTGGAGGATGCATGTACCAGCACACATCTTGGTGGCCAGTTCTGGAACACCTTCTCTTTGTCCAGCTATGTCAGTTCTTGGAGGAGTTTGTCATAAGGGGTCCTGATTGCTTTCATTAGGGGCCTTTGTCATCTCAACCTTTTTTGCTTGTTGTGCAATGATGGCCTTTGCTTTCTTAGACTATTTTTGGGAGTGAACTTTCTGGCTCTCTTTTGGGGACACCTCTTGCATCCATGGTTAAGCTTATTAGTATGAATCACTGTTAAGATCCTACTCATCAATGTGGCCAGATAATGGATTGTTTAAGTTGGAAAAACTTCTAAATTGGGAAAACTTCTAAATTGGAAAAAAAATTGTGAGAGCTCTCATCACAACTGTTTTATTAGTATCTGTGAAAAGGCCAAATTAAAAAAGGAAATAAAAAAATAATGACTAGCCTTAAGACCCTGACTAGGGCTACAATTAAAGTGAGAAAACGTAAAAGTATAAATATGTATAAAATTATAAAGTTTGAAATGTTTGAGGTAATTTTCAATAAAGAGGTTATATCAACTTTGCCTGAGTATATTTTAAAATGTCTGACAGGGAATGCTTCCCCTATCCAAAATTATAAGACTAAGACCTATTGATAAAGTCCTAATGAAAACTGATTAGAGTTATAAGACTTGATGAAATTCAGATGAAATTTTGTAGAAAATTAATATATTTGTGTGCTTTATGTGAAGTGATTGTATCTCTTTTTGCATGATTTTATGGTAGATTGTATTGTGGGGATAAACAGTGCAACTCACTGGGGAAAGTTCCTCCTGCATGATTGTAAGACAGCATATAAATGTGCCCTTCAGACAAAGGTAATTGAACTTACAAAAGGAAGGTGAATAGGAGCCCACAGAGTATGAGATAAAAACTAGAGACTAATATCAGATGCTAATAAAAAAAAAGATAATAAAAGCTTTTTTTTGTAAGAGCTTGGTAGACAAAGGTAAATTGGTCTAAGGTTAAATTGTACATTTAAACAAAAAGGGTCTTTGTTAAATTATTTGTGCAGACTTTTAGAGGTGTAATACATTGTCCTAATGTTTTAAAACAATAGCTGCAAAGTCCTTGTGCATGTATGTCTATATGTATGTTATGTATGTGTGATATTTTATCTCCAGATGGCATGGCCAAAAATTAAGAGCTCTGCTTAAATTGGCTTAAAGTAAATGCTTACATTATTTCTAAATGTAATAGAAACTAACCCAAATGTCTTTCAAGTTAATGTGATATGAAATAATCTTTAGTAAATGAAAGCTTATTTAAGATGGTTGGTTTGATGAAAATGGACATGTCCTCAAAGTTACCAACGTTAGATATAATGCAGACATGTAGCCTGGGTTTGCTAGTTAAATTGTCACCAACTACTTGCCCCTAGGAACTCAAGGGTGGGTTTGGAAGCATTTAACTCTTTTTCCAAATTGTCTTTTTTTTTTTTCTTTTGTTATGTTAAGGAGATGCAATCACCAACCACCCTAAACCAGAGATACCTCACCACAAGACCTAAGCCTATGATCTTTGCCTTATTTTTTTTAACTTCTGTTTGCCATGGAGACCTTTATTATTTTGTATTTACATATGAATTTTTTTGATAATACTTAATTTTTTTCCATTTTATTTATTTTTCTTTTTTTAATTGAGATTCATAAGAGTTCACATCATTATGAAATTTCAGTTGTACATTATTTCTTGTCTGTCACCACACAAGTGCTCCCCTTCACTCCCTATTCCTACCCCCCACCCCCTTCCCCTGGTGACCACTGAACTATTTTCTTTTTCCATGTGTTTGTTTATATTCTGCATATGAGTGAAATCATATGGTGTTTGTCTTTCTTGGTCTGGCTTATTTCACTTACCTTTGCCTTATTTTTAATGCTAAGATCTCTCCAAGAGGAGATTAGGCCTTCTTACCATAACCTACAGTGTATGTGGGAGCATGTTTTCCAACTGAGCCTGGGCAAGCAAATACCCACCTCTCCCTTTTGAATACTCATTTCCCATCTGAAATAAAAGGTCCCTGCTTCCCTTTTTTTGGAGAGCCAGGACTTTGGAGATGATTCTGCATGGTCTCCTATTTGTTGCAAATATACTTTACTTTGTAAGACAACTACTTCTCGTGGAGAGCCTTATTTAACTTGCCATGAGGTAAACCCACTTTGTTTTTGGTAACACATTTGGTGACCATGAAAGGGCTTACTGCGTTGTGGTGCTTGTGCCCCTGACTTGATGTTGCTGCCCCATTGTGAGACCCAGCAGCCGCACCAAGCACTTTGCTCAAAGGATCTCTCAATGGAGGTGAGTGGCGCCAACCCCATGGCACAGCTATGAGTTATTTCTTTAAGTCGTCTCATAAAGTTTGCCTATTGGAGCCTGGCTTTGAGTCCCCATCCAGAGGTAACCTGGCTCAGGGGGTTGAGAGCCACCTATGGTTGGAAGGATTGCAAACCAGGCCACTCCAGAAGGACGAATGCTCAGTACAGGTGAAGGGGACCAATCTCTGTTCCCTAGTCAGGTGTTTGAGTTCCCTCTGGAGATTGAGTCTCCTCTGGAGTGATGAAGTGGGGGTTTGAGTCCCCCCACCTAAAGTCACTGAGCCTGTCTTAGTGTTGTGCCTGTGATTGTAGAAGAGGTCCCCTTAGATGTGGTCAAACCCCCTCTGGAGTTGTTGAGTCTGTTTTTTGTTTGTTTGTTTGTTTGTTTGTTTGTTTTTGTCAACATTAACAATATTGTCGAGGATGTTTGGCATTAATCCTGTTTTTCCTCAGTCTAGCTTTCCCAGACTCCTAGGTCTCCTTTTTTTTCTCTGCCCTCCCTATCAGTGGTCCCTGGGTGAAACCCAGCATCCACAAGTTTTATTTCCCTCTAAGTATTTAGTTTGGACTGAGCTAAACTTGGCCTGAGGAAACTTGGCCTGATCCTTGTTTCAGGCTATAGGGTGCTAAACCTCCTCTGCAAAAAACGTTTGGCATCTGCATCACTACTAACTGTATCAAGTTGCTCCTGGGAGTTTGGAAACAAATCATAAGAAAAGACTCTAAAATATGGGGAAGTAATCTCCGTCCCAAAGGAGAGCCTGTTGGGTGGCATCCTCCAGAATTGGAAGTCTTTTGAGTATTCCCCATTGACCAGAGAGCAGATGAGCTTTGTATGTAACACAGCCTAGTTCTAATATTTACTGGAAGATGAGGGGGGGAAATGCCTAGAAAATGGGACCCTAAATGTCAATACCATAGTACACATGGATCTATTTTGCAAAAGAACCAAGAAATGGGATGAAATCTCTTATGTCTAGTGCTTCATGGCACTATGTCTAAATGAAGGGTTAAGGATTAAATCTAAGACTTCAAAAATACTTCTCATGTTACAAGATCTTTCTGACGAGGAGGACTTACTCCTCCAAATCAGGAAACGTGGGACTAAGGAAAGCCCACCTCAGAGTCCAACTTTCTCACATGCTCCAGCTTTGGCCCCATCATTGGACCAGCTGGTGAGCCCTGGGAGACCTCCAGAGGCTGTAACAGGGCCAAACCCTTTACTGCGCCCCCTGAGCAATCCCTCCACAGGAAATTAGACTCTCCAGTAACCAATGGTCCTTCACTCTCCTCTTCCAGATAGTACAACCAGATTAGGAACCAGTTACAAACCTGGGATATATCCCCTAAGACAGGTGCCTGATGGTGAGGGGAGACTTATTAATGTGCCCATCCCCTTTTCTACCTCTGATTTGTATAATTGGAAGGCACACATTAAAGGATTGAGAGCTGACCCAGAGGAATTCATAAACCTGCCACTCATAAGCCAACCTGGACAGATATCCAAAGCCTGTTAGCTACACTCCTTATGGCTGAAGAAATGTCGGCTGTACTGTTAAAAGCTAGAGAACAAGCACATAATGAATATGACCCAGGGTTTGCAGGCCTAGCGAACAGGCTGTACCAGAGACTGACCCTGCGTGGAATCCCAATGGCTCTGATGATCATGAAAAAGAAGAGAAGACAATGAAAAGGCAAGCCGTCCTGTTAGCTGTGGCCCTCCAGTCTGCTCAAGGTAACCTGAGGAAGAGAAAGAAGATGCCATGGGTGAGTGACCCTGGCCCCCACCAAGGGACCATAAAGCACAAACAATGTTGAGGGCTAATCAGTGTGTGCTGCAAACAGGAAGAGAATTAGCAGCAGGATTGTGCCAACTATCCCCAGAGAGGGAAGGGATTAAACAGGACCAAGCCATGGCACCTTCCCTTGACTACAGATGAGATGTGGCAGAGCTGTGGGGATCCCGTTGGCTCTAGGAGCCCTGGGAAACCTTGGAAGTAGGAAGAGAACATGTTAAAAATCTTGCTCCGTACTAGAGCCACATTCTCCATGTTGAATGCCCACAAAGAGAAACCTTTCTAAAGGAAAGTGTGATAAAAGAGGTATCAGGAAAAGTTGAAACCAAAAGATCTCTGGGTCCCTTAACCTGTGAAATAAGATCTGGACGTACCAGAATGCCCTGTTCCCCCTTTAGGGAGGGACATGCTATCTAAGTTAGGTGCCTCAATAAGCTGGGAACGAGATAAAATAGAGATCTAAGTCCCCAAAAGCCAGGGAGTTGAGCTTATGGCCCTTTTACAGGATACACCAGCATCTGAGAAGGAAGAGATTCCCCTAAATGTTTTAAGCTGAGTTAACTCAGAATTAGGGGCACAAGGATAGGTGGGGCGAGCAGCTGGTGCCATGCCAGTAAAGGTAAAATTGAGGCAGATCACTGGCCCCTGGTAATACCCCTTGAAGCCAGAATCCGTAAAGAGGAATCTAACCTGTAATCAGTAGGCTTTTAGAACAGGTATTGATCAGGCCATGGAGAGTCCCATGGATCACTCCCATGTTACCCATTAAAAGGCTGGGGACAGGGGAATATAGATTTGTTCAAGACCTTGGTGCTGCCAATGCTGTACAGTACTGGATTTATAATAGTGAATATCTTCATTTTGTTTCTGGTGCAGAGCTCCTAAAACTCTTGTAATTTCCCATGTGAGAGCCATAGAGGCAAATTTTTTTATAATTACTTTAGTCCTCAGTTCCTGAAATAATTACAGAGCAATAAAGGTGAAATGGGTGTCTTTTGTTATTCCTAACAAGCCCTTTTCAACCACACCTGAATTTATGTTATTAAGATGACTTTTGGAAATCCCCTAAGGATGGGGACTGGTTAACAGGGAAACCAACTGTGTGATTTGGGGGTTGGAGATTTCATCCCCAACCTCCTCCCCACACCTGCAGGGTGGGGAGAAGGGCCGAAGATTGGGTTCAGTTGCCAATAGCCAATGATCTAATCAACTGTGCCTATGTAATGAAGTCTCCATTAAAACCCAAAATGATGGGGTTCAGAGAGCTTCCAGGTTGGTGAACATGTGGAGATTCCTAGGGGAGTGGTATGCCCAGAGAGGGTCTGGGAGCTCCATGTCCTTTCCCCCCATATTTTGCTTTATGCATCTCTTCCATCTGGCTAAGTAAAATGTTTTCCTGAGTTCGTTGAGCCACTCTATCAAATTAGTCAAACCCAACGAGGGGGTTGTGGGAACCTCTGATCTGTAGCTGGTTGGTCAGAAGCAGAGGTGATAACCTGGACTTGCAATCGACATCTAAAATAGAAAGTTAAGGGTAATCCTGTGGGACTGAGCCCTTAACCTGTGGAATCTGATTCTATCCTCAGGTAGATAGTGTCAGAATTGAGTTAAGTATGTTAAACTTCCTAGCCAGTAAGGGATATAAAGTGTCTAAAAGGAATGCCCAAATAATCCAGAGAAACTGTAAACTATTTGTGGTTCATCGTTTCAAGGGAACAATGCAGGCTTCCTCAAGAGAGGAAAATGGTAATATGTCTACTTGCTTTGCCAAAAACTCATTGGCAGCTATGAGGATTATTGGAGATGGCTGACTTTTGCTGCATTTGGATCCCTAACTTTGGATTAATTGCTAAGCCTTTCTATGATAAACTACAGGGGCCAGAAGTGACCCTCTTTGAATGGGATAAGCTATGTTACCAAGCTTTCAATAAGATTAAAAACTTGCTAATGGAAGAGCTTGCACTGGGCTTACCAGACCTGAACAAAACATTTGACCTATATGTTCATGAAAGACAGTGTTAGGAGTACTAACCCAATTGTTGGGACCTCTAAAAGAGTGGTAGCCTATTTCTCAAATCAGATAGACACTGTGGTAAAAGGATGGCTCCCAAGCTTAATAGCTGTAGCTGCCACCTGCCTCTTAATCAAGAAAGCAGAAAAACTGACCATGGGCCAACCTACAATGGTGGACCCCCCATCAAGTCTCTAGTCTACTAGAGACTAAAGGATATCTATGGTTATCCCAAAATAGAATACTACAATATTAAGCTATACTGCTAGATTCCTCTCAGATTTCTTTAAAACCCTGTCATCCCTTAAACCAAGCTAATCTTCTCCCTGATTCCAATGGGCCTATTTAACCATGCTTGCCCAGAAGTGATTGACCAGGTTTACTCTAGCCACAGAGATCTCCAGAGTGAGCCATTGCCTAATTCAGAGGAAGTGTGGTTTGTAGACGGAAACAGCTTCAGGAAGAATGGACAAAGAAGAGCAGGTCATGTGGTAGCGTCCCTGCATACAAACATAGAAGCCGTGGGGCTGACGTCAGGCACCTCAGCTCAAAAAGCAGAAATAATTGTGTTAACCATAGCTTTGAAACTTAGGGGGAAAATAATAATAATAACAATATGCATGGACTCTAAATATGCTTTCTCTCTAATTCATGCTCATGGAGTCATTTGGAAAGAAAGAGGACTTCTTAACAGCAGCAGTAAAGAAATTAAACATGGGCCAGAGATCCTTAAACTGCTAGAAGTGGCACAGGGCCCTCAGGAAGTAGCTGTGGTCTATTGTAAAGGGCATAAAGGAGGAATCAGAGGCCGTAAAAGGGAATAACTTGACAGATGCAGCTGCAAAAAGGGCCACTATATCAGGAGAGCTTCTCCAATTACCATTAATTCCCACTCTACCCTTCTATGAATTTACACCAGTGTATTCCCCTCATGAAGTAAGGGAAGCCACTATACAGGATTACCAGTGGTCCCCAATAGTCAAGGGCTGGATGATAAGCCAATGAGGGAAGATTTGGATCCCCAAACAAGCAGCTTTGGGGCTCCTTAAGAGTGCACATGATTCTACCCATTATGGAAAATAAAATTTATACCTATGGCTGATTAAGGTCATAAGCACCCCAGGCATAAAAGAACTTATTGAAAAAATAAGTGGACAATGTGTTTACTGCCAGAAGGATCATGTACAAACCAGACGTCCCACAACTCCCCTCTTGAATATTCATTCCCCATCTGAAATAAAAGGTCCCTGCTTCCCTTTATTCTGGGACACCATGACTTTGGAAATGATTCCTCATGGTCTCATATTTGCTGCAAATATACTTTACTTTATGAGACAACTAATTCTGGTGGAGAGTCTGACTTAACTCGCCAGGAGGCAATCCACTTTGGTTTTGGTAAAAAAATAAGCTCATGTTATCCCTGTTACAAATTTGTCAGCATAATAACTTAAAATGATAGCTGATCTTGTCCAATGTCTCATGAACTTTTCTTGGGTAATCTAAACATAATTGTTGGGAACAAACAATTTAGATGTGAACAGGATAAGAGTTTAAACTTTGAATAACAATTATATTTATGACATGTATTTAATAACTTCCAAAATCTCTTTAGTAACTTGAAACTTTGAAATTTTGCTCAATTAAATAATGGAAAATTCATTGAATATTTACATTATTTCTAAACAAGATAAAATAGGAGACATTAATTTCTAAATATGAGTTTACCTACATTTATCTTATTACAGAGAAACTAAAGGGTGTTTGGGTCTATTGGTAAACATGTCTTGTGTTTTATTCAAAGATTTTACTATAAAGTAACATGTTTCTAAAACTTATAAAAAGTGTTTGTAAATTTGTCAAGCTACAGAATGATAATGTAAAAGACACTTTATAATTGCTTACTTCTTAGTTTTTACATAAAAATTAAAGTTTCTAAGGATTAAAAATTGTAATATGTGATTAAAGCTACTAGAAATTAATAAGGAAAACGTATTTGTATTCAGGGAAAGTAAGATGTATGTTTTCAGTAAAGAAAGTATAAAGAATAAAAATGTTTTTGTTTTGTTAAGAAAGATAAATTTGTCCAAAAGTACTAGAAGGGAATAAAGAAGGCATGAGACAAATTCTACATGCAAAAATATTTGTGAAAAAAATTTTTTTGAGAGTTTTGCCATGATCAAGTTGGCCAAAATTAAAATGAATTTAATTAAATAAATAAGTTTTAATATCAAAAGTAAGCTAATGCAAAATTAGAATTTATTTTTTCCTCTCTCTTTTAAAAGGATGATTTTCTCAAGCTTTTAGTCTTCTCTTGGTAAAGAGATTATGAAAAGTTTTTTGCTTTGAGTAGTGTACCAGAGGGGTAAGGATTTGGCATTTTATCAAAATAAATTTCCTATATTATTTTTATCAAGTCTTTAATCACAGCTACTAAGGTTTTTCTTACAGCTATTTATTTCTCTGCATTCACCTAAAATTCTTTAATTGTCACCATGGTTAAAGGGATAACTAAACATTGTTTCATAGGGACCTATGATATTGTGTGGGTAAATGTTATTGATGTAAGTGCTTTAAAAATTATATAAGATTCCAAAAATTCTAATCTGTCCTGGTTGTCTGTCATAATTCTAGTTATTATCTTAAAGTGTTGTATGTCACAGAAATAACCAAATTTCTTTGTCAATTTTAAGTCTTTTGTCATTTACAGACAGTTATTGTTTTACTCTGATGCTTTTGCAAATGTTTCATCTTCAGAGAGATTCATGGAAAGGACTCTGACATTTACTCTGGAATGCAGGGTTCTGATAAACTTTCAGATTGTACACTGAACTGAGTAAGAAATTACACAACTCTAATGGAGAAACTGATGACTTCATGAAACTGCTAACAGAAGATCAAGATCAAAAATTGAGTATATGGGACTGAATGAACTGATGAAGATGATTATAAATCTTATCACTTTTCATTTGAAATATTGCTGATTTTTTATGGATTTTTTTTCAGATTTAAGGAAACCTTTATCTCTTCTCTTAAGCTAACCATGACTTATAGCAATTTGGTAAATTATACTTTTGTAAACAGAATTGAAACATTTATCTTTTTCTCCCTACCTGATCCCTCCAGAATTTGGAAACTTTAATGAGTAAGTATTGTTATTTTCATGGCAATATAGTTATTTGCATAAGTTCAGTAAGAATCTGTTCTCAGAAGACTCAGGAAGAACATTTGATCTTCTCCCAAACTGCCTAAAAAAATTTAACATAGAATGGCTGTTCCAGGAAGGATCTAATATCGTAAGATAGCTATAGTATAGTATAAAATAGGTGTGATAAAAAGGCACCAACAAGCCCATTTTTGGCCCAGAAAAACTTGTTTAACAAACATTTGCATTTCCATCTCCCTGTAAATTGTCTTCCTCTCGTCTAAAACCCCAAACAACATCCTCCTTGTCTTTAGCTGAAGATATTTAAACTAACAGCCTTGGCCACATGATCGAGTTACCTAATTTTCCTGAATTCCTCCCACGTATACATGTTATAAAGCTTTGTTTGATTTTCCCCTGTTCTTCTGTCTCATGTCAATTTAATTCATAGCCCAGCCAGAAGGACCTAGAGTGGCTAGAGGAATTCTCTTCCTCCCTGACACACCCCTGTGACAAGAGGTCCTGGTGTAGCTCTGGGGCTCATCCTTTGAAGGGAAAAGCCAGACGGGGATGAGAGAGAGGGAGGATGACGTGTACCCCCACCCTGAGCTATAGGGACTGCTCAAGACATGATGCCCCAGGCTTGTGCTTGTCCAAAAAAGGGCGCGTGTGTGTGCATGCACATATGCATGTGTATGTGGTGGGGAATCACTGCTGAAGAAGGCAGAGGACTCTGTAATTCCCAAGGAACAAAATATACATAGAATGGAAAGAGAAAGAAGGGGACAAGGGAGGCTGGAATAGGGGAGGAAGGAGGAGGGACCTGGGCAGTGACCCCGCCCCCAGCCCAAATGATGATGGAAGCTCTCCTGCCCAGGAGGAGGCTCAGCACATAGCAAGGAAGGGCAGCAGTGCTTGTGAGCCTTTCTGGGGCAGAAGCTCATCTCACAGAGGGAAGGTCAGAGCAGGCAGCAGACGCCATGGAGACCCCTTCAGCCACCGCCCACAGAGGGCACATCCTACATGGGCTCCTGCTGGCAGGTGAGAGGGGACAATTTCCTGAGGGTGGGCAGGAGATGGAAGAACCTTCTGGGGTCTCCTGGGGAGGACGGGGTTTTGAGAGGGGACAGAGGTCTTCTATTTGGACATGATGGGAGAGGACATGGGAGCAGAGTAGGATGGGTGGAGGGCATTCAGCAACAGAAAAATCTCATGATCTGGAAGTGGTGAGGGGCATAAAAACTTCAATTGCTATACCTTTCCTGGTTAGATATCACTGACCCATAATATTTGAAATTTGATGATAATACTAATAATTTATTAGAGGATGACAGCAGAAAAAACTTAACTAGGGACACTAAACATTGTCCTTACCCACCACTCTTAGAAATTGGCAAATAAACACCAGGATATGGAGGGCCCTGGGAACACTGGTTCATTCATCCACAGGTGTTTGGAGCCTGTTCCAGGCACTGGGGGAACAACAAGATCAGAATGGTCCCTGTCCTCAGGAGCTCACATTCTCTGGGGATGAGGAGAGATAAGCAAAGAGATCTAGAATGTGAGGTCAGGGACTGACATTGTCATGAAGGGAACGAGCAGGGAAAGGTCAGAAAATGAAGACAGAGGATGTTTAGAGCAGGTGGTAGGGAAGGAATCTCTCAAAGATGCCCCTGAGAGTGAGCAGGATGCTGAGGTCAGGGAGGGAGTGAGCCAGGCAGACACCTGGGGAAGAGTATTGGGAACAGAGGAAATAACAAGATCAGAGGGGCTGCAGTAATGGTGTTCATGCTGCTGACCTTGACCAGTAGACACACTTACACACACACACAAACACACACACAAACTCCAAGTCTAAGACATGAAGAGACCCACTCAGGACCCAAGGCCTCATCTTTCCATCCCAATACATATGTCCAAATATTGACTGATCTCTCTCTCTTCCCTCCTAGTCTCACTATTAACCTTCTGGAACCCGCCCACCAGTGCCAGAGTCATTGTTGAATCGTTCCCTCCTGATGCTGCTGCAGGGGATAAGGTTCTTCTCCATGTCTCCCATCTGCCTGAGAATCTTGCAGCCTATATCTGGTACAAAGCGGACAGAGTAGATCCCAAACGTCAGATTATATCATATATAATAGACACATCAGAAATTATCCCAGGGCCGCTGTACAGCGGTCGAGAGAGAATCTATGATGATGGATCCCTGCTGCTCCAGGACACCACCCAGAAGGACACAGGATACTACACCATACAAGTCATAAAAAAAGATTACCTAATTGATGTAGGAACTGGACTGCTCCATTTAGACTGTGAATGATTCCTCTCTGACCCCTGGGTGGTGGGTGGGGTGAATTCTACTTCACACATGCAGGACTGACGGGCCTGGACTGTGCCTACATCTCCCTCTGTATTACAACGCATGTTGAGATTTGGGAACACTTAGTGCAGGACACAAACAGTAGAGAAAAACTTCAAAAGATTGGAATCCAGACCCTCTAAACTTTCCCTGCAGAGAGAAGGCCCAATCTGTTGAGAATAACTCAGCAAAGGGAGATGAGTCTCAGTCCAGCCCCCCTGGGACCCTCCTCATGATGATGGCCTTGAGGTAGATCCTGCAGGGCTTGGTCAGAGCCTGGCCTGGGGGCTCCCTGGGATCCTCACAGAGAACCTAAGCCCTGAGAAGTCCCTGCCTGGACACCTGTCCCAGGGCTCCTGACACCAGTGACCCTGGTGAGCCTGCGCAGGGTTGAGTTTTGGCCTCCTGGGCACGGCTGACTGGGAGCAATGATTTCTTGACTGCTTGAGTCTCAAGGCTCCTGAGCCAGCCACCAGCCACGGCTCAGCCCTAAGAGCCACATCTGGTCAAGGGCAGAGGCTGATCCTTTACCTGAGTCTCAGCGTGAAGAGCACAGGTGGACAAGGTCCCCAGGCCATTAGCCGACTGCCCTGGGCCCTCAGGAGACTCCAGAGGAAGGTCAGTGTCCCCAGGGGAGGCACAGAGGAGAGATTATGCTGCTGGAAGCCCCTCATACACCAGGGGTCAGGCTCACGGGCATTGTCTCTCTTGAATGAAACAATAACAGATGCCACTTATTTGGGCAGCTCTTCCCTACCAAGATTTAGGTCAGGTACTATAAATATTTTAAGGTTAACCAACTGACAACCTGGCAACCAAATATTTATCCTACTTTATTGAGTGGAAACTGAGACACAGGGAGATACTACCTCTAGATGGGAGTCACACACACCATGAGTGGCTGATCAGTCACAGGAGGTCTGTCTGCACCCACAGCCCCATCCTCCCCTCCACCCGGGTACATTAATTAGGTATGTGGACCCCAAGACAACTGTCACTTCAGATCCTTTCTTCTTAAGCATCCCCAGCACAGAGGGAGACATTCTGATCTGGGGAGTGAGAGCAAATGGAGAATTCATCCGTGTTTACTCAAGAACCAAATTACCGGCATCAACAATCAGAGTCAGTGCACATATGTCCAGGCCACCCCCTCAGGTGGCCAGTCCACACCTCCCTGCACTGGACTTGATATCACTTGTTTCCTGATGTGTTAGGGTCACTCTTACTGGAATGGAATATAAAGGAAAGACTTTGCCATCTCACTCTCTACTTTACCCCTGCAGCCAGTACAGGGCCCATTTGTAACAAACTCTCAATTGCTTTTGATGAAGCAGGAAAGAATGAATGAATGAATTTATTTATTAATGATCCAAATTCTCTTCAAAGACTGGAACCTGGATGCAGAGTCCTTGGAATTTTCTCCACAAGGACAGGTTCTCTGACCCTCCGGGGGCTGAAGCCCATGTCTCAGATGTTTCACTGCTCTCTAGAGAAATACTCCTTCCCACAGTTGGTCGGAGACCCTGGGGTATTAACCGTAATTTTCACATATGGAAGAATTTTAACTTCTCAAATTTCTATCTCATAACCACCAAACACAGATGATCCATGAGGGCCAGATTTGCAACAAGTTCAGAGATAAAAGAGACCTTAAAGACCAAGGGCAGAGGTCAGGTTCTGCTGCCAAAGCCAGGAAGCTCCTGCCTGTCCCCTCACTCTTTTCTGGATCATTCTTTGGACTCTATCATTTATTGGGTCACTGGCTCATGTCAGTCACAGTCACCCAGGAAGATCTGATCCACATCTTTGCCCTGAGCCCTGAGTACTCATCTGACTGCCTCCCTTGCTCCTGGTCCTCATGCGTTATTTATGCTCAAACCACAGACCCACCGTTACCCATCTCTAGGAGAACCTTGAAAATGGTGCCTCAGAGAAAACTCACCTCCCTGGGTGATGGAAGTGTGTGCAGTGGGAAGGAATCAGCCCTGGTTGGCCAGACAGTCAGCTGGTCAGTGAAGAACCAGCAAAGGCGTGGAGGGCGGGGTTGGGAAGGCTCTCTGATTCTTCTCTTTTGTCTTTTCAAGACCAAACCCTGCTAACATATTGACACTTGAGAAAGTCCATGCTTTCTCTCAGACATAGAGCCGGCGGCCTTACTTTCTCTGAGCGCTCTGATCCTCATGCCTTTGTCTTGAGGTATACAAACCTGCCTTATTCTTTCAAGGACTCAGGTTGGCTGAGTGGTGAGAGATGCCAATTCTGATTTGCCCATTTTTCAATCAAGTTATTTAGTTTTGCTGCTCTGGTTGAGTTTAGCAGTTCTTGGTATATTCTGGATATTAACCCCTATTGATATATAATTTGAAATTTAGTTTCTCCCATTCATAGGTCATCTTTCACGCTGTTGATTGTGTGCTTTAATGTAATAAAGGTTTTCATTTTGATGAAGTCCAATTTATCTATTTTTTGCCTTTTTTGCCTCTGTTCTTAATGTCACATTCAAGAAATCACTGCCGAATCCAATGTCATGAACATTTACCCCATATTTTCTTCTAAGAGTTTTATAGTTTTAGGTTTTACTTTAGAATTTGATCCATTTTGAGATAATTTTTGTGTATGGTGGAAGGGAGTGTCCAACCTCATTCTGATATCCAGTTTTCCAGTACTGTTTGTTGAAAAGACTGTCCTTTCTCCACTGAATCGTCTTGGCTCCCTTGTCAAAATCGTCTGATCACATGATCGAGGATTTATTTCTGGATCTCTATTGTATCCCATGGTCTATACTGTCTGTGTTTGTGTCAGTGCCACATTGTTTTTGATTCTTTAGCTCTATGGTAAGTTTTGAAATCAGAAAGAGTGTGTCCTCCAATTTTGTTCTCCTTTTTAAAGATTGTTTTAATTATTCAGGGTCCCTTGAATTTTAGGTTGGGTTTGTCAATTTCTGCAAAAAGTTCATTGGGATTTTGATAAGGATTATATGAAATATCATATGGTTTGGGGTATATTGGCATCTTAACCATATTCATTCTTCCCATCCATGAACATGGATGTCTTCCCATTATCATGTCTTCTTTAGATTCCTTCAAGACATTTGGGAGTTTTCAGTGTACACGTCTTTACACTCCTTGGTTAAGTTTATTCCTAAGTATTTTATACTCTTTCATGCTATTGAAAATAGAATTGTTTTCTTACTTTCTTTTTTAGATTGTTCATCATTATTGTATATAAGTGTAACTGACTTTGAGTATTGATTTTGTTTCCTGCAACTTTCGTAAATTTGTTTGTTGGTTCTAACACTTTGTGTTTGTGTGTATGTGTGTGTGGAATCTTTAGGGTTTTCTACATAGAAGATTATGTTTTCTGATAAAAGAGATCATTTTTCTTCTTCCTTTCCAATTTAGATGCCTTTTATTTCTTCCTCTTGCCCCATTGTTGTGGCTAGGACTCCTGTACTATATTGAATGGAAGTGGTGAAAGCAGCGTCCTTGTCTTGTTCATGATCTTCGAGGAAAGTTTTCTGTGTTTCACTGTTAAGTATGACGTTAGGCTTTTCCTTTATGGCCTTTGTTATATTAAGTAGTTTCCTTCTATTCCTAATAGTGCCTATCTTTTGTTAAGACTGTAACCACTTCTCTCTAGAGATTTCCTTTGCTGTGATATTCAATCCCCAGGCCAGGAAGAAAAAGTCCTCGTCAGAGTAAGAAATCCTTTAGATTAGAAGCTCTTCAGGTCCTAAGCTGTGAAGACTGGGAGGGATAATCCTCATTCACTAATAAATTGTTTAACAGGAAGTAAATGCCTTCCCACTTTATGTAACATTCCCTTGGCCCCAGAGATGGACAGGGCTGGCAAGCCTGCCTTCCCCAACACACACGGAAGTGTATATAGAGAATGTGGCCTGATCTTTTCTGAAGTCAAAGAAAGTTCTAGGAAAGAATCAATGAAAGTTGATGAGAGAAAATTCCCCCTAGTGATGAGGGTGTAGGATATGTGGGATGAGAAGAGGTTCCTGGTGCTTCTAATGCAGAGATGTCCAGGGAGACTGATCAGGGGTCAACCAGGGGTGATATAGGGGTCATATGGGGAGGTGCAGCCCTTCCCTAACAGATCGTTCCCTGAGCAAAGACACTCATCCTTCTACAGGGGCCAGGGCCATCATCTGCATCACCTTTACAGAGTGACTGAGATCTCTGAGGAAGGAGTGTGGCGCCAGGCCCAGGCCCGCTCTCAGTCTGTCACCGCCTCTGTTTCTCCACAGAGCCAGTGTTAAAGCCCTTCATCCGAGTCAGCATAGGACATAAGGACCCCAGTCACAGAACATAAGGACCCCATGGATCTGATCTGCCTCACAAATGACTCTGGGATCTCCATCCAGTGTTTCTTCAATGACCAGAGTCTGCAGCTCACAGAGAGAATGACGCTATCCCAGGACAACAGCACCCTCACCATAGAATGTGTCAGGAGGGAGGATGCTGGGGGTTATCAGTGTGAGGTCTCCAACCCGGTCAGTTCCAGCAAAAGTGACCTTCTCAGGTTGGATGTGAGATATGAGCCTGGCCCTCTGGCTCTCTTACCCTCATCTATCTTATTAAACTCTGAATAGATTTCTTTTTCTTATCTGTAAAATGATAGTTCTGAAACACTTTTTAAGTAGAGTTGTAATCATCAATGGTGAAGGTGGAAATGCCATAGAAGACTTGCATTGAGTCAATAAACACAAAACAATGTGAACTGACTTTGTCATTATTGTCACATTCTTAAGGTCACATTCCACTCCAGATCGCAGCACTTGTGGGTCTCACTGGCACCATCTCCACAGTGGAAGGACAGGCAGTGGCTTTGCAATGAGGGGTGGGAGCACATGATAACCTCTCAGGAATCACAGCTCTATCCCTCCTCCAGGGGGAGGCATGGATGGCACCAGGACTATGACACAGACAATGGGAATAGACAGGAGGACATCCATGTGGATTTCAACACTGATCTCTTTCTCCCCATCTGATTCCTCTCAAAGAATTCCTGAAGTCTTTCTGAGTATCCTTATTTTCATGGCAATAGACTTATTGTGTGGGATCAGTACAACCCTGTCCTCCTTGTTACTAGAATATCAATAGAAAACTTGCTGGTAGACCCTCAGCTCTGAGTCAAATGTCCTAGTGGAAAACGATGCCCATGGGATCCGATATGACCCACACTTTAAGGAGCTAAGGTTGACTTGATGGGTATTTTGGGGATCTGGAGAAGAAAAGACGTCACTCAAAGCTGTAGAGACTGCAGGTGAGTCCTGATGTCCAGGCTTCTTAGTGTCAAGAAGCTGTTAAAAGTCCCATCTGAGGTTCCTTAGGAAAACCTGCATCAGAGGAAACTGTGTGGTGAGTGTGCAATCCCACAGCACCTGTGCAAATAATCAGGCCAAATGGAGTGAGAGCAGCCTTGTTCCAGCATCAAGAACACTCTTCCTTGGAGATGATCTTTGTTCAAAAGGAAAGTGACCGTTGGAGAAATGTTGTGTTTCCATGGAAAAGTCCAGCAAGCAGAATGTTGTGATGATCAGATTGTGGCCCTCTTCACTGTTTCTCTGCTGTTTTGCATCTCTGTACAAACTGCAGGGAACTGGTGGAGACGCAGACTGGGTTTTAGCTGATAGAGATGGAGTTGTGTTTCCCTCCTCCTGTGCAGAAGGCAGTTGACCTAGAGGCCTGATATTCCCCTCAGACTCACTCAACTTCAGACAGTTCTTCCTCACTTTAGGCCTCTGGCCTCCATTTTCTCAGAGCATTTCCTTTAGAAATGTAATTGCAATCTGGCATTGCAGATTCTTTCTCTGCAATTTTGAAATGTATATAAGTCTCCTTCAAATTTTCTTCCCAGTTTTAGGACCCAGGGGATGTCTTTCTCAAGGGCCTGGGCCCATCCCTTTGAAACGTAATCCTCCTGGGAGATCCTGCCCCTGCCTCCCAGTCTCTGAGGGAGGGCAGGAGCCTAACTTGGGTGGATCCCTTTACAACCAGGGTATAACACTACCTCCTGTCAGAATTTCATGAGAAGTTTTACTTTCCTTTGGGTAAGACTGATTAGTAAACACAAGTGGCCCTCATTTGCCTCAACCTGCTTTTAAAATCTCTCCAGCCTTCTGTTTCAGGGGTTAAGTTCAGTCTCTCCTCTATTGTGCTGGTCTTGAATAAAGTCTTTCTGCCTCTTTAATTTTGTCTACTGCAATTTTTACTTTGACATTCCCTGCCTGTAAATTATCGTGTTGTCTTGTACACAGTGTCAATCCTCACCATATTTTCAAATCCTCCAATTTCTTTCCTTATCTGGCTACAATCCTCCAAATGAACATTTCCAATTTTCCTCCCTCCCTTCCGACTTGGGCTCCACGGTAGGAGATGACCTCACTGCCCAGAACCTTCTGGGGTCCCAGGTTGCCTCCTACACAGCCATTGTCCCCAGGATCTGAGATGTACTGTGAGCTAAAGTCCAACAACTTGAGAAAGACCTGGAAGGTGCCCCACCACAGTGGCCCTGACACCAATAGTGTGCTCATTCCACATACATTGTCACCTCACCTTTATGGAACAAGATCACACAGGTGTTTAAAGATATTTTGTCATAAAACCCAACAACTCCAGTGGACAAGCAGGTCCCTGTCATGTCAGCCACCCCCATGCCCACACAGGACCATCCTGTCCAGGGCCCTCGCCAGCCTCAGACTCAGGCCAGACATCTGTGTCTTCATTTTTTTTCCTTAGTCATTGTTTTTACAAAATCCATGCACCTATTCTAAGGAGAGTGCACAAACAGAACCTGGGAAATGGTAAATAGAATCTGTCCTCTGGTTCTGTGCACTTCCTGGTCCTTTGGTCTCTGGGGTATACGGCTGAACACTTAGAGACCCAGTGACAATGTGGAGTGTGGATTAGCAGAGGTATGCATTGAGGGGTGGCGTGGATAGGTGGGGTGTGTGCAGAATCTGGAATAGGAATATTAAAGCCTGGGTGGGTTTCGGGGTGTTAGGTGTAATTTAGGATCTAGTGGGGCCATGCAGAATGGCTATTTTTTGGGGTGTTCCAGGATGAGGTAAGGATTCTGAGTGGAGAGCATACCTACATGTTGAGGGAGGAGCAACTGGAGGTGATGTGATGAAGTTGGGCTGCCATCCTTCTAGACTTGGTTGGGCATGACAGTGAGATAAAGCTTTGGAGAAAAGAATAAGATTCTTGAAGACTCGTATTAGTGCCCTGACACTGAGAACAAGACAGAGCTCCAGATATTCAGGCAGAAGGGGACAAGAGATAGGGGATAAGAGGTAGAGGGAGATGAGCATCCAGTGAGGGCTAGGAATCTGGAGAGCGATAAAGGATTAGACAACAGAGGACACCATGAACACAAAAATCTTGAGCTGAAGGCATTTAGGGAATCAAGTCAGGAAGGGAGTTTGCACACAGAGTAGTCAGACTAGAAAAGGGATCTGGGATGGAGCCTGGTAGAAGGTGGGGAAGGCAGGGCCAGGATGGCAGTGAGGACCAAATTGAGGACCAGAGTTTTCCAGTCTCTGGTTCTGACCAGTTAAGACATGTTCAAGTTGCTCTCAAAGCCTGGGAGCACTGTAGAAAAGCCAGATCTCACCCTTGTACCCTGAGCCCTCCTTTAGCTGAGTCAACAAGTGAGGCATGTCCCCAGGGGATTTTTGTGTCAGTGAGTAAGGCTGAATGGGAGCCTGGGGACAGGCAGGGGAGGGCAGATGTGGGGTGGGAATTGGGAGCAGAACAAAGCTGGAGTGTGTGGAGTCTATTCCTTCTTTGTTGACTAGTCATAGGGAGCTTCCTGTGAGTCCACAGGTGAGAGCTGTGTGACAGGTGTCAGTGAGGAGTGGTAGGTGCCATGACAGTCTGGACACCTGTCCTCCTCTAATCCAGGACTTACCACTTCCATTTGTGATGTATCTGCTCTCTCCACTTGACCTTATGTTAGTGGGTGTGATAGAACTCAGGTCATGATGAGGAGTTCTGGCTCCCTGGTCGAATTATCTCCCACATTCAGACACTCTCTCTCTCCTGAGATGTAGGAACAGGTCAGGAGATGTTTTTCTATTGTTGTAGAAGGCATGGGCTTGCTCAGAACTCTAGGAGTCTGCATGGAATTCTCTTATTAGGTCCTGCCAGAGGCTCCACAAAACACCTTTAACCCTTCTGACATGGGTTGGGTGGAGGTACATGTGCAGGAACTTGTCCTTTCCTATGGAGGGTGTATCCAGCATGCCCCAGACTATTGGAGCCCTAAAACCTTCATAGTTGTAGCAGATCCCTGAACAGTCACAGATGCGGATGGCCCTACAGCCCATGGAACTCTCACACTGGGCTTAAAGTGTTGATAACTAGAGCTGACCCTGTCACTGATGTCATTGTTAAGACTGATATCACTGTCTTTGATCATCAATATCAACAGGCAACTACTTCCACTCTTTGGAGCACAAGTGTCTTACTAAGGCATTCAGGATACTTGCCATTTCTTGTTCATCTGTAGCAAGAAAACTTCTAGTTCTCGAGAAAATATTTGCAAATCAAATATCTGACAATAGGTTAATCTCCATAATATATAAAGAACTCACACAACTCAACCACAAAAAAAAAACAGCCCAATCAAAAAATGAACAAGGATATGAATAGACATTTCTCCAAAGAAGATATACAGATGCCCAATAGGCACATGAAAAGACATTCAACACTGCTAATCATCAGGGAAATGCAAATCAAAACTACACTAACATATCACCTTAAACCCATTAGAATGGCTATAATCACCAAGATGAAAAATAACAAATGTTGGAGAGGACGTGGAGAAAAGGGAACCCTCATACACTGCTGGTGGGAATGCAAACTGGTGCAACCACTATGGAAAACAGTATGGAGATTTCTCAAAAAATTAAAACTAGAAATACCGTATGATCCAGCCATCCCACTGCTGGGTATCTGTCCAAATAACTTGAAATCAACAATTCAAAGAGACTTATGCACTCCCATGTTCACTGAAGCATTAGTCACAATAGCCAAGGTGTGGAAGCAACCCAAGTGCCCATTGACTAATTATTGGATAAAGAAGATGTGGTATATACATCCAATGGAATACTACTCAGCCATAAAAAATAACCAAAATTGTCCCATTCCCAACAACTTGGATGGACCTTGAGGGTGTTATGTTAAGTGAAATAAGCCAGACTGAGAAAGACAAACACTGTGTGATTTCACTCATATGTGGAAGATAAACGAACACGTGGACAAAGAGAACTGTTTAGTGGTTACTAGGGGAAAGGGCTTGTTGGGTGGGCACAAAGGGTGAAGGGGTGCAGTTACATGGTGACTGACAAATAGTCACGTACTACTGAAATTTCACAATGTTGTAAACTATCATAACCTCAATAAGAAAAAAAAAACTTCTATTTCTCACCGTTAAGTATGAGATAAGCTGTAGGTCTGTAGGTTTTTTATGACTTGAGTTGACGTGGAATTGACTTGGAGGATGAACACATCCATTTGCTCTGTGAGGCAAGGCCAGCTTCACAGGCTCAAGAGCCTGTGCGCTCGTTTAGAAGGGCCTATGGTAGGTTTAATGCTCTGCTTTTACCATCTTGAAATTCTTCATGATATTTGAACAAGGAGCCCTGATTTTCACTTTACACTGAGTCTTGCAATTTACGTAGCTGGTTCCGCCCCTTAGTAGTGACCATTTTCCCAATGGGCTCCCTTGGGAAGAAAAAGTTGACCCTATTGGGAGATGCACTTTAAAATTTGGCCATTAGAGGGAAGCACCGCCACAGTGTAACTTGGAGGGTTGTAAAGAGAGATGTAGAAGTTGGCTTTTTCTACTCTATTTAAGTCATTCTATGTCTCTAACAGCGGCGCCCCCCTCCCCGCCTACCTGCCTCACCACTCCCACCTCTGTAGCTCACAGAGGGAAGGTTCTCCAGTCCTGATGTACTTCAGAGATTCAGATTTTGGAGTCCACATCCAAGGGGGAAAAGAAGAAATCAAAGCTAGTTGGCTCCAATGTGAATAGCGTTAAATAGACATCACAAAGGCCACACAGAGTGTTGGTCTTAGGAAAATACTTGAGATATGGGGATGGGAAGGGGTATGTTATGGTGATGGGGAAAAAAGGAGCTGAGTCCTCATCTTCCAAGAGGGAAGACCTTAGATAATGCCTGGAAGTGAAAATCAGTAAGTTCCTTCAGAGCATGTTATTCAGAGATGACTGGTTCCGTCCAGAGGAGCTGCTGCTGTTTGGGGCAGATCTCCTCAGTGTGGCCCAGACAGGAGAAGCCAGGATCTTCCTGTGATCACTCTGAACAGAACACACAGAGACAGTGGGCTTATCATGGCCAAGTCCAGTGTTGTCACAAATATAAGAAAGAGAATATCCAACAGCAGGGAGCCAGGACTGGTTTTCCTCAGTGTGAATATCAGGAACAGAATAATAATTTTGTTGTTGTAGCTAAAATGCGCTGCATGACAACTTTAAATCTCCTTGGGGTTATAGGTCATTCACATCGAAACAATGTGCCCCCTCTGGGCAAGACTTACACAGCTGATTAAGATTCTTCCAAGAATCACAAACTTCTTAGGTCACTGTCTGTATGACACGTGATGGGTACTGACATGTTCTCTCTGTTTGTTTTTTTTGACATCAGGAGCATAGAATCAAAAAATTAGAATGCTTGGTTCATAACCCAGTATCATCACCAGTCCATACACGGCCTACCTTCCTTTTTAAGAGAACTATTACTTATTTACCTTAATTTTATTTTTTACTTATATATTTGGAATCAAGCTCTCGTTGCAGCTTCCAGAAGATCAATGAAGGGCAGGACTTGGGGTTCAGCTCACTAAGGAAGCTCTCCCTACTTCCTGGATGAAAAACCTGGGAAATCAAGCCCCTGTGTTGGTGCCACAGCACTTCTGCAGGCTCTTGGTAGAGATAAGCTAGGGACCCACTGGCTCCATGGCCCTGACTGCCCGGATAAGCTCCACCTGCATCTCACAAGAACCGCTTCCCTCTTCCAAACATGAATCTGCTGTCAGAGACTCTGGGAACTGCTGTCCTTAGATTCTCAGGCTTGTGTGTGCTTTTCAAGGGAGTTAGAAAAAATGAGTTAGGTCAATCTGGGGTGTCTGTCCTGGGTAACATGGGGCACCTCCAATGTAACA